AATAGGAAGGTAGGGTAGGGATGGAAGAGAGTAGCAAAAAAAGTATCATAATTTTAAAAAAAAAAAAAAAAAAAAAGAGATCGGAACCTTCGGGTGCTTGCCATCTGAATCTCTTTCTTGAGCCTTGCAAACACAGCCAAAACCCAGGTGCAGACCACGGAGGCTTGTAGTGAGATAAAATCATTTGACCTTACTGAGTAAAAGGAGGGGGAAAAGTGCCACTTGGTCACGTGTAATAGTCAGCAATTAGATTGTATTGGCCCTGTGTAAATGTACTAAGGCATACTTCTAAATGAGCTTAATGAGAGGGCTCTGCCTGAAAGCTCTCGCTTCAACTATCTAGACGGGAAGGTTTAACAAAATATTTCTTCTGTCTTGCAAGCCCTGCCTCATTTTTACACGCTCAAGCCATTGCAGGTTACAGCACTGCTGTTTCACAAAGGCAGCTTTGCCATTTGTTTTTCTGTTGGGATGTATTGTAAGATGCTCTGTATCTCTAATCATCCTTCAATCTCTTTTCTGTAGTTTTTCTACAATATCCTTCTGCAATGTGTGCATGCTAGGTTATCCCGGTACTCAGGAAACTGTGTGTGGAGTTTTCATGATGTTTTCTGTTTTGCCTTTTGTTCTGTATTTAGTAACTCGGGTATTCTGTTTGCTCTTTGATTGTCCTAAATAATATTGTACTGTCAAGACACCGTCACTCTGGCAGTTTGTTTCTTTTACGGCTGTGCTGAAGATTTTACGCACCGCTACAGGTGTATAGAATGGAAACTTTCTTGCAGTGTATAAAGTAGTCTTTTTTTCCTCTGTATTATTTTTCTTATTGCTTTCTTTTATGCCAGGTTTGGTCTACAAGGAAGACTTCCTCATGTCTCTCAGCTTGATTTCTTTAGGAATCTTGATAAGGGATGTTTTTGAAAGATTTGGGGAAATTCAAGTACTTAATATTGTCTGGCTGGTATTCACTGACTCTTTTTCAGAAAATTCTGATGGAACCATTAGGCATGACTTTTCTGTATGAAAAGGAAAAAGAAAAAAAAATCTATGAAAGTTATTAATCCATGTTTACTCACTTTGCTCATTTACTTTCCTACAGGAGTAGTAAGACTTCATTAGTCTGTGGTTTCTCAGGTACTCTCAGATTCTTTGTAAGATATTTGATGTGCTCTGTTCTCATGGCACCAAATTCTGACTGAAACATGTTATAGTTGAACAGTTTTAAGGGTCTTTAAAAGTGGTATTGTACATTAAAACTATAAACATACGATACCACATGTTCAGTGTTATAAATATCTCTTATTAGCATTTGAGTTCAAGGGTTCCTCAGATGTATCACTGGTATAGGAAAAATAGGAAAATAATAAGAACCTCTGTATTTAAAAAGAAGATAAAATAGTCAAAGTTTAGGCATTTCCCACCCCCCAGCTTCCCCTCTTCTCCCTTCCATATGAATCAAAACTGAGATTTAACATGAGTCCCACATCAATTTCAGTGGTTCAGAATCTCTTTTCTCAGGAGCAGCTGTTGTTGAAATAGACAAGATTGCCCATTTTCAGTTTGGGGGAGCTTTTACTTCAGGTCTGTTTAATATGGTGTTTTTCCACACTTCTAGCTGTGTATCATCATCTTTTGGCATTTCACACAGGGGAGGTCTGTGACATTATTTTACTTGTGAGGAGAATTAAAAAAAAAAAAAAAGCAGTATCTTCTAAAAGCAGAGAAATTTAGCCACTTAATCGTGTGCAGAAGAAAAGGCAGACCTATGCTGTTCCAGAGAAAGAAGGTGGGGGAAGATGCAAAGCAGCTTTTATAAATTGTATCATGAAACAAATAATGACTGAAACAGGTAAGAACTGCAGTCTCCACACAGAACAAGGGCAGCAGAAGTGCTAGCTGATCCAAGCTGCCATGGGTGTTCAAAGTGTTGCACGGTGCGCGCTGCCCAGCGGTGTTAGAACTGGGGATGGAAACAGGCCCCGCAGTCAGGGAAGAACTTGAACTTCCCCTGGCATTGTGGATAGCTTTATTCTATAGATAACCAGAACGTAGAGAAGTTGAACAGTAATTTTGTTGCTGGGGGAGGAATGCATATTCAAAATGAGTTCTTCAAAGACTGAAGGAGTTTGACGACCGCTAACAACTTGTAGGGAGGCCACCAAATTACTGCTTTAGATGGTGCTCCCAGAGGGAGCATGTTTATTTTACATAAACCAACAAAACAATAGAAGACTAACTATAACTTTTCGTTTTGTGTAAGAGCAACTCCTACCAGAGTTATCCAGCATCCCTCAGCCAGTGAGACTATTAACTATGATGTTAAGGCTTTTGGATCCTCTCTGCCTGTTAAGGTTATGGAAGCCCTGAAGAAGGCTGATGGTAAGAACTGCTTTTATCTGCTGTTTTTCTCATGAAAATTGACGGGTGAGAGAAGAGTTAACATGTTGTTGATGCCATTTAAATGCTGACTTTACAGTGGAAACGGAAATGTTTGTGCCTTAGTTTGAATCCAACTTGGTTAGCCATGTAACTATAATTGTAATAGCACCCATGTGAGTATGGATGTGTGTAAATATCCTTCAGGTGCTGTCTTAACCAATATATCGTAAAATCCAGGATAATAAAGAAAGCCAATAGTAGTTTTTTAGAAACTTTTGCTTAGTGGTTCTTTCTCACCTTTAATGCTTGTTTTGATTCTGTTGTGTCCTGGAGTGGACTCTTTAATTTTTTTAAAATTTATTTTTAACCCACATTTGTTATCATTTCTAAACCTTTCCCTGAGTTCAAGAAATTGGTCTCCTAAGCAATTTTTCCATGTGGATAAGTTTTCTTTTTATCATAGATACAAGAAGAACCAAAAATGCGTATCTTAAAAATAATCCTGAAAATTGCTGAGCAATTTATAAACCTTTTATAATCTTCTGTAAATTGATGGAAATAGCTTCTAGGATTGTCTTACTTTTCACTCAAAAGCTGAGCATTTGTCAAATGGATTTTTAAACTATATGTAGTAATTTGCTGTCTTAATCAAATACATGGAAATTCTAACATGGAATTTAATTTAATAGAAAATGTATTTCTTGTTTTCATATGACAATGAAAGTTTATTGGTCTTAAGGTTACTCTGCAGTGTTTTAAAAATCTGAATGCTTTAAAAAAAATTACTTCTTATGTAGCTGATGACCAGCTGAGTGTTCAAGTGGATGAAAGTGGATGGGCCTGGCTAGTCCATAAAGAGAGGCTGATTATTTGGAAGATTGGTCAATCTCCAGTAGCTAAGGTAACTGAAAGATGAAGATGGAAAAACTTCTGTTTTATGCTAGTTGAACAAGTTATTCAGTTATATTTTTTAAAAACAAGTTTCTTTATAAATTGAAGTTTGTCTGGTTTCCTCCAGAAGCAGTGGGATCAAGCTTTTAAGGAAGCTTAACATTTTTCTAGTCTCTCTTCATTTTTAATTCTCACATAACACTAAGGTTAATTCTTTGCATTTTAATAGGTGTGTCTCTTAGGTAGTCCTGGTCTTGATAAAGCTTATTTTAATAGTTAGAAACTAGTTGATATGTTACAGATTGGTTTAGATTATTCTGGGACTGATTTTCAACTTGTCAAAACAAAACAAAAAAAAGGTTTGTTTCAGCTGTGCTGAACATATGTTTCATCTAGGTTTCTTATGTCAAGGATTTTTTTTCCCCCCCCCATGGCAGTGTTTCTTTCAGCATTGTTTCGGTGAATAGCAAGGCTGGTCAGAGGGAACCTGTAGTTATAAATTCAGTATCTTTAATTAGTGCAACGTATGTTAATTATACAGATTCTGCCTTACAGTGGAGTGTCAGGTATATGCATTCTGGTACTTGTAGGGATTTTTCAAGGGATTAAACTTTTCCTGGTTGTTGAACTTTGGGGGCGTGGGAGGGGGTTAGGAGGGGAGAGCGGAGTGTTACCCTTACCTGCTCTGTTAGTACCTAGTGAGCTAGGTGCTTCTAGTTCATGCACTTCACGCACTTCTGAAAGAAATAATTCAGCGTTGTACCGTTGTGAGAAACAGAAATAACTAAAAGAAAAACAGTGATGTTTGAAAATGTACAAGTAGGTGTTTTTTATCTGTTTGCTGGTTGTGACAACCTTGCTGCAAATGTCTTGTGAGTTTCTTTTGGTTCCCTTACAGTGCCTGGGCTAGTTGAAAATTTTTAGCAGGGTCAAAATACCTAAAGACTTTGTGGCAGAGGAATAAATTCTTCCAGTCTTATGCTTACTATGGCATCTTTTTCTTTTCTTACAGTTATCTCTGTGCAAGGAACTGCAGCTGCCACCCAGTGACTTCCAGTGGAATTCTAGTTTAGCAGCTATATCTTGTCTCACCTCCTCAGGTGAAGCGCCTTCTCTGCAGGTGATTAACTTTTAAATTTTAGTGTTTAAAAATACTTCTAGAGTAACTTTGCATATATCCTATTTTATCAAGTACTTATTTGAAAACTGCAGTTGGTGGTGTACTATCTATTCAAAAGGTCAGGACTGATAGTTCGCAATAAATATGTTTGAAATAAACAAAATTCTGCTAGTCTTTTCAAATTACACCATTTACATGTTATAGGATCAGTTTAAATAATAGTTTTCCTCAGGATTACTTGGTGTGCTTTCATAACAAACAAGAATACAGTAAACTAAGAAGTATTGTGTTAACAAACACCAAGGCAATCTGAATATTCAGTCTAAGCAAGTGCAATTTAAATGCATGCTGGCTGAAAAAGTTGTTCAGCAGTGGTTTAATTCTGAGTATGCATGGGTGAGAAGCAAACACCAGCACCGTCCCTTGGCTGGTCTTTATAAGGAAGCGGGTGCTGGGAGGACAGATGATTTAATTACTTTTCCTAAGTGCCTTTTCATAATATACTGTGCTAGAGGGTCAGGTTTGAAGATCAGTTAAGTTTTCTGAAAGTATGTTGATGTGTCTGTTACTGTCATTCATGAAGGAAAGAAGCTCTCATTTTCAGCTTGGGTATAGTTTTCAGTTAATATATGTGGTGCTCTAATAAAAATGGATAAGCAGTTGTCTTTGGAAGGAAGAAGCAGCACAGAGTCTGATAGGATCTATTCTTTGGATTTGTTATTGTGTTACGCTTCCAGATGATGAAAAGCAATCTTAGTATCTTGTGGTTAGCTCATAAAACTCTAAATGCACTATGACTTAGTCATACCCAAAGAAGTTCAAGAAGAATTAATACACCTAAACTAAGATTATTTTTTTTTTTATTATTCCATCTTTCTTCAGTTTGTGAGCTATGCATGGTACTATGATTTTATAGAGAGAAGTAGAAATAACAGTGGTAGAAAATATTTCACTAAAATGAAAATTGTTAAATAATGGGTAGGAATCACAAAGGACAATGCATTCTGTGGAATTTTTTTAATTGTTGCGATGTTCATTAGCCTACTGCTTTCCTTTGTGAAGACATGTGTCTAGTCAAAAATCAGAAAACTCCAAGGAGATCAAGAATAGCTCTGTGCTACAGTTCTTCTATTGTTCTGTGATTGATTTTTTTTTTTTTTCCAACAACAGTAGATTAGGTAAAATGCTTTCTGTCTAAATCTCTACTTGAACACAGTCTCTTGCTTCATGCTTTGAATTTGGTCTCTGAGTGATTTCCTGAGTCAGGAGCCCTAATGTGGGCACACCTGTGTGATTCGATATTTCTCTTAATGACACTAGAGCAGTTTCTTTCTTAAATTATAGTCTGCATTTTAAGTCTTCCATAGTAGCTTATAACTCTTGGGATCTGGAATTCTCCACAGATGTATTACAAATGTAAGTTTTGTTTCTATTTCAATAGCAGACCCTGAATTATCAGGAACAAGAACCAGTAGAAAATATTATTATTAGCAAAATAAGCAAGTATAACATTCCCTGCACATATTGAGTTGTGCTACAGAATTATTTTGCAATTCAGTTCTAGGTTTGTCAGTGTGCATCCATATGTATTTACTACTTTTTTGTGTTTCTCACCTACAATCTTGATATGTTAAAATAACATGTTTTTGTTAAAGCTGCAAGTCTGATAATAATCATGTGCATGTTCTGTTAATTATTTTCTCACTTCAAGTCTCTGGCAATAATGGTTGCTACCAGTGAAGGTTCTGTGCGCTACTGGCCCAATCTTGCACATGAAGGTTCCTATACAGAGGCTTTCACAGACTTTGGAGGCTCTCTGTGCAGTTTCCTAACAGCAGTAAAGGTACAGTATGATTTGTATTAAAATACTGCTTCAATTCCTAATTTAAAAATTAAAAAGCATGCTTTACATTAACAGTCCTAAATCTCCAATAAATGCTGCAAAGCAAGCTGTCAAACATGCTGAGGAGTAATTTCAGAGATTGCTGATGACTGTGATGATCTTAAGTAGCAGAGATGACTGGTAGTCATAAATAATAATGTTAAAGTCAGGGAAGCATGCAGGATTCAAGCATAAGGTTAAGAGGACTAGTTCGGTACCTCAGCCTATGAGGAGTGTCAGTATTACTACTGTGATTACTTCTAGGGGTAGAAACCCTGCTGTCACAGAGAACTGCTTCATCTGAATCTGCTGACCACACACTCAACATCTTGTGGCATAGCTCCCTAGTGACTGAATTTGAGAGATTTCTGCATGAAAGTAATGAACAAGTATATTATGACTTGTTCTCAGAAATTCTATTTTCTGTTGTTGATGTGGCTAAATGGGGAAAACTCTCAAAATGGAATATATACAAAAATTCAATGTCTGTTACAATATGTGTTGTCTTCAAAACTACTTGTTATCAATTAAATTACATTTTATCTCATGACCTTTTCGACATGTACTGTTCATATCCTGTATTATAAATATTTTTTTAGGGCATCAGCATGTCATAAGCATTCATAAACCCAGTAAGAGGATAGTGATCTTAATGACGAATTTCTTAAGAGTTTCAAGATGTTAAGAAACACTAATATGTATCTACCCTATTATAGTGGAATTGTGCCCAAGTTTCAGATATCAAGATGAGGAAAGCAAGATGGTCTCACACCTGTAGTTGAAACATTGACATCAATGTGAATTCAAAGCTAGAGGAACTTTTTTTTTTCTTTTCAGAGCAGAACCCTTTAATTAATCAGTGTTCTAAAGCTTTATTAAAGGTCTATTACATATATGACAACCCTATTTAATTAGTCATCATGTCACTGGGCTGATTTAACCTGACTCAATGCCACTATCTACACTGGCCATATGGGGAGAGGGGGCTGTTATTTTAACCTAGTTCCAGCCTAGCTGCATGAAATGAGTTATCTGTTAGTGGTCAGAGCCCATCTTTCAGTTTAGTTTTATTTGAAGGGTGTACAGCTGCTGCGCTCAGACTGCTCTGATGTGATGTGATCCAGCAGGCAGTACATGGGGACTTGCAGAAGGTCGCTTCAGAAACAGACTCTTGTTATTAATTAAAGTGCTAATGTAGATGCACCCATTAGGGCAGGCAAGAGATGCATTAGCAGAAGTCTATGCCTCCTAAATAAGGTGTATATACATAGATATATATTCCTATATAAGGTATATAAGGAGTGCATATTTTGCATAATGCACAAGATTTCACATTTTCTTAGTGCAAAGGTAACACTGTTTTTCATCGTTAGGATTACAAGAGATTTTAGTTCTGTTGTTAAACTGAAATGGAGTTTCATGGATTAAAATGTCATGCAATGGTAAGAAAATGATTCTCTACCAGTGCTAAGTACCAGTCCAGTGTTTGACTTAGTGCTAATGCTTATTATTTCTTAAAAAAAAAAAACAAAGCAAAATAAAAATCAAAATCAACAACAAAAAACCCGGACCAAAAATACCCGAACAGAAAACAACTTTTTTTCTTGTATCTGCATATTGTTTTATTTCCTGATCTGGCACTAGCATTGTAATATCTTTTCTTAGTTATGCATTCACTAATGCACAATTGATTTTTCAATTACCTACCCCAGTCTTTTTTGACATAACCAGATTAAAAATTTGTTACGCAGTTCAGTTAGATCAGTGTCCTGTAGGATAGGATGCTATTTAAAAGAAAAAAAAAATTATAATGTACTCAGTAACACTTCATGTTTTAACTGCACACATAAAAGTCGAATGTTATTTAATTCATAATTCAACATATGAATGTTACATGTAGTAGTGCCTGTAGAGATTGATTAAATATATTTTCTTTTCATATTTTTCAAAAATACGGTTTAAAATTAAAAAAATTTTCTGTTATTCGCTATGCTTGAATCAGTGCAGCATACAGCTCACAGTATACTTTTTTAAAACAGTCTTTGTGATGAATGCTTTTTTTTTTTTTTTTACTTTGCCAGCTCTCAAGTACTATGGATGCCTTGTGTCTTGTTCTTGTTTAGTGTTTACGCTTATAAGCTGACATAAAGAATTTTATCTGACAATAGAATTGTTTCAGGAATGTGATTTTTTTTTTTTTTTAATATAGTTGCTTTTACTTTTTTTTTAGGGAGGAAGCTTTATTTTATCATCTTCCAGAGGCCAGCTAGTTCGACTGATACCAGATAGTTCTGGCAAGATTCATCAGCATGCCCTGCCACAGGGTCAGGGCATGTTTTCTGGAATTGGTAGGAAGGTTTCTTCTCTTCTGGGTATATTGTCTCCTGGACATGATGCTGTGGTAAGCTTGAAGAACATTCATACAGTAATCTGCTTTAATTTCTGTCTGTAATTTCTAGCCTCAGTGTTTAAGAAAGAAAAAAGAAAACGAGTGTGTAAGAATGTATAATGACCAAAAATGAGACAAGACTCAACTCATTCATGTTACTTATATTTCTTTGCAATATGAAAGAAAGACAGGAACCATACAAATCTGTATGCTTTGTAAAGGAGAATGCTTAGCTTACTTGCTCTTCAGATCTGAATAAAAGGAGATTTTAAAGTAGTAATACTTCCTGGGGAATACGCAACGATTCAAAGTCTTGCTTTTTTCTAGTAATAGCCTCATTACTACTTGAAGAAGCTAAAAGTAACCTGTAATTGTACTTTTCTGATTTAGGGCTACCAAGGGCTGGTGATTGGGTTGAGCTTTGTCAGTGAACTCCACAGGAGTTGGAAGAAAGTATGAGAAACATACTTCCTATATTCTTATATCTATAAAATAAGACTTCTCTTGGAAATTATTGTAATACTCTCATCTTGTAGTGTTACTTTTGTAGGTTATCCAAGAAAGTAATTTTTTTTTTTTTTGTGGGCTGAGAGTGGTGTAGATTGTAATATCCAAATATTAAGGCTCTGCTTTAGCCTTTTTAGCTTTTCTTTTTTAAATGCAGATTTCTAGCGTTCTTTGGGATGAAGAGAGATCAAGCTTTTATATGCTAACAAGTTCAAATCTAAACAAATGGGAGATTGATGATTCATCAGAACGTTATATCCTCAGCTGGGATATCAACAGGATCCTGAAAGAACATATTACAGATGCAATTTGGGTAAGAACCAGCTCAACTGGAAAGGGTTTGTGTGTTTGTTTAATAGCCTATTTATATATAGTTTATATATATATGCTTATATTTATATATAGTTTTAAGTCAGATGTATTATTTTTTAGGGTTCTGAAAGTAACTATGAAGATATTAAAGGAGGAGTAAATATACAGTACATGGATTTGCAACAGAATCGGTAAGTAATATCAATGAGATAAATGTGTTCTGTTTTCTTGCAAAAACTTTACATAAGTGATTGCAATTTAATTTTACTTGGGTGCTGCTGTTGATAAAATAGGCATGTCATATTAGATAACTACGTTATTCTATGCTTCATGCTATCATTATCTCTTCAGCATCACGAATTCATTACCTTAGAATATTTCCTTTCAGGTTTTTTAGTGTCATTTGATCAGGTCTGAGTGTTTCTTTTGTTTTGATATTCCAAAGACAGCAAGTAAGCAATTGTAACTTGTTCCAGCAAATACAGAGAATTCAGTATCTCTTGTATTTCATCTAATTACATAAAATCACAACTGCCTTGGTTCAGTTTTCTACTGCAATATAAATACTGTTAATAAAACAGCTGAAAGAACAAATACTGTAGTTTTTCAAAAAAGATACAATAGTGGAAAATATTTATTTGTGATTGTACTTAAATATCTGCTTTTGTGAGTGGTAGAGTTTGAGCAAGTAAAATGTGTAATAATCATCTCTCAACGGTATGATATCTGTTGTTGAATAGTGATGGGCTGGTGATACTTGCTGCAGCATGGCATCCTGGAGATCGTCCATGTCTTGTCTACTACACTCTGATAACAGTAGAAGATAAAGGCTACCAGATGTCTGATGACGTTGTTGTGGAGGTCACACAGTATAATCCATCTTTTCAGGTATGCAAATGAAGGCCCTGAAACTGAGTTAAGAAAGCACAGTGTTTCAGAATATTCCTGTACATAAATCAGCTATCAGATTTTTGTCTAAAGGAAAATCATGTTCTCTGTCTTAAGGTTGTTCTTTGAAGTACGTTTGTAGTATTCTGAGGAAATTACATCTTTTAGCATCTTTTAATATCTAATAGTACCTTTATGTAAAGTTTATGCTTTACATTTTAAAGTATAAGACAAAAAAGCTCAAAAGTAGAAGTCTAAACATCTGATTATTACCGATTTATTATTTCTTGCTCTGTGAAAGTTTCAACAGAGTAATTTTATGGTATACTCATGCAATCCATTTAAAACAGACCTTGGACTCTGAGACTCTTGTAGCAGGGCAAGGAATTAAGAGACCTGTATTTTGGTTCTTGCTAGATGGCAGGCTTGCTGGGAGGGGAGGACACATTGGTCGTCCTTCTCTTCTGGAAGCATAAATTTGGGCATTAACTTTCTTTGGTAAAATTCTTCCACTCTTCCTCTTCTTCCCCCTGCCATTACATGGCATCTTAAATTTTACTCTTAAGATAGAAGGAGAATGTGAAAACTTCAGAATAATTGATCTGTTTCCTTATCTCTCTGTGTGAAATTAGCAAGAATGTAATACAGATGGAAGAAAAAAACCCCAGGATCTTAAGTTTTAGGACAAGTTAAAAGTGGGTTTGATTTGGTTTTTTAGGTTATAAGTTATACCCATATCTTCTTGTTAAAAATTAAAACAAGTTCAGGCAACTCAGATCAGTCTTTAAAATGTTATATGTTTGTTTAAGATTTTGATTATATGTGTGATATTTTTCATGTGTAACGCTTGCAGTCAGAAGAGGAAGTGTTGTGCTGTCTGGTAGTCCCAGATTACTTTAGTCATGCTGCTTACCTCTATAAGGAAGATGAAGTGTTTGCTTGTTCCACTGGAACTGGAAGAATTTCTTTACCACAGGAGAAGATCATATTTGGCATACAAGGTAACATGGTGGGAAAAAGAAATCACATTTCATTGGTACTTTAAATACTGTGAAAACATTCAATTATAGATTTCTCAGAGAGCAGAATTGTATTTATGCTTCTTTTTATTAAATCTTTCAAGTTGGGAGTTTCTCACGAGTGTACAGCAAAAGTGGTGACGTGACATCCAGTATTGTTATTGCTTACTCTACAATGTTTTGGATGAAAATGAAGTAAATCCCTGCTCTTATTATATGAAAGGGTGGGGGATTGTTTGTGAGGGGGTTTTGCTTTTTTTTTTTTTTCTTCCAACATTCACTGTTTTGTTGTGGGTTGTTTTTTTGTTCTTCATGTTAACTTTCTGTCGAGGCTCAGCCTAAAATTCATACTAGGTGTGTGTGTCAGAAGTCTCTTAAGTATGTCGCCCTTGACCTTCAGAAGTGTTATCAAGTAGGACGTGCACATTGGTCCTTAGGTAGTATGTGAACCACCTGAATCTTGGGGTTTTTTCTTTTTTCTTTTTTTCTTTTTTTTTTTTTTTTAAACTTGCAGTGTCTGGGAATCTACATCTTGAGTAGCAAATAGCATCCACAATTTCTGTAAGTCAGGTGCAATTGTCAATTACTGTTGATTAGTTCATGACAAAATTTAATAATTGTCTACAAAACTGTTACATTTTGTTCTTAAATTTACATTTTGTTCTTAAAGTGGCATTTATGTGTGCTTTTTTTCTTTTTTTTCCTCTTCCCTCATCTTAGGAGATAGCATCTTAGGAGCAGGTTCCTGTACTAGCCTCCCCATCTTCTTTACCAAAAAGAGTGGACTTATCACTATCTTGTCCAGGGAAAACATTTCTGTGCTTCCTGAAGACCTTGAAGATTCCCTGTCCTCTTCTGTTGCTGGACCAAGAAGTGAGGTAATGGTTGTTTGCTTGGCTGGTTGAAAACTGAGGGTAGAAATAAAATGCTTTTCTGGCAGTTTTGAATTTTCACTGTGGAAATCCTAGCTTGTTTGAGTTTTAAAGGTTTTGTTGGTTTTTTTGTAAATAGAGACTCAAATGTAATGAAGGCGGTTTTCAAAACTCAATAATCATCTGCCAGTTGGGGTAACTTTTTGGTTTTCCTTTGTTTTGAAGTTGACATTTCTATGAAATTTTTGTTTTCACGTAGATATATTACTGTATGTCACTAGACCTGATATAACACTACTGCAGAGACTTGGACTCCGTTCCCACTTTTTCATCAGGATTGTTTCTTCAGTCTTTTGTGTCTTTTCCTTTGTGCATGAGAGACACTTATCAAGCCGTGAAAAGCTCGGAGGCTAAGCTGAGAAGGGCTCTGTAGTAGCTGAATATTGTTTCTGCTCTGTTATATATATTTTTTTAATAGTCTTATAAAAATATGTTAAAACATGTAGAAATATTTTTATTGATATTTTGTGCAACGTGCATTAATTAAGCTCTTATTTACATCCAACATATTTTGTTTAAAATGTATATGCCCTGGAGATGTCCCTGGAGTGGGAGGGAAGAATTGAAGAGTTGTTACAGTATAAATCAGAGAATATTTCTATGGGGTAATAGTGAGTTTCAGTCCCTATTCCAGTTAAATCATCTTTAAATCAGTTATTATTAACTACTATTTTAGTGGAAGACCTTTGTGGTGGTTGCTCAGATGGAACTGTATTTTTCTTACTGAACTAACCTCTAGTTAGATTTGTCTGCACTTATATTCTTTCTGTGGGTGATAGTACTCATGAATCCCTTTTAAATTCTGTCAAATGTTTGAATGTTAATGGGTTTATAAATGTTAAAATATTTAAAATTACCACAGAAAGTTTGACTGGTGAAACAAGTTGGCGTAAGTTCCTTTGCAGTTTATGTGAATGTTATTAAAGCGCTTGAGGTCAAACCACTGTGTGACCTTGACTGTAATATATCTTACAGTCTTATGTTTGGCTTAATAAACATAACTTCTTCCAGGTGGCATTTTTATTTTAAATCTATGTTGTTGGTACTTAGAAAAATTGTTTTTATTTCATCATGAAGATTGATACTTGTCTTTCAGCTGAAGTTTTTACTTTGCATTTTCAGAGTCCTGCGTTTGACACAACCAGTAGGCTAGAAATCATAGCTCAAGAAGACAAGACTAAACTACTGAAAGCTGCTTTTCTACAGTACTGCAGGTAGAAATTGCACTTTATTTTTGAGGCTTTGTTTGTTTGCTCTTCTTGAAGGCACTCTGATACTTGAGTAAGAGATTGTCTTGGTAAAGATACTCTTGTGCTATTTTAAAGTCATTTTAGTGACACATGCACATCTTTATTAGGAAAGTGTTAGATACATCTTGAGCTAGTGAAGAAGTGATGTGTGCTAGAAAGGAGCAGACTTCTATAATCTCAATGACTTTTTGCTTACTCTGCATAAATTCTGTGATATTACATTACTGCCAATGAAACAACTATAAACTTTGTTATTTTGAGTTCTTTATTCTTTTTGTAAGAGGTGTTTTGTTGTTAAAAAACGTTCTTTCCTTTTTTTCATCATTTTTACTTGCATAGCTATTTTCAGTAATACTTTTGAGTATGTTTAATTACTATTTACATGGCCATGAAGAATAAGTAGCATGGCAGATTCTGTGGCAAGAAGATATTTATTTTTTTTTTTTAGATTGACTTGTATGGGGTGAGTGGGAGTGGAAGGAAATACACTGTTCATCAAACTATCCTGATTAAAGGGAGCTGACTGTTAGGAGGCATGCAATGCCTCTGAAAGATTTGATGTTGAGATGAGTGATGTAAACAAAGGAGGAAGAGGAGAGATAAGAAGATAAACAGAGCTTTGGACTTGGATTAATTATATCTAGAGGGGATTGTTTTCAATATATATTTGTTTAAAAAAAAAACCACACCACAAACCGTCTTAGGACTAATCTCCTTAAAGAGTCTTAAAACTTGGAAAGAACAGATTTAAGATAACAGGTAGTAGGAGTGCTTTTGACATAGAGCTGTATATGAGGAAGAAGATTATGAAGGGGATTAGGCACATACAATAAACGGTATCAAGTAAAGATCTGTAAACATGCACAGAATTTGGAAAGAAAATCTACGTGTATCCACAAATGGACATGAATTGCTGCTGGAGGTGGCTGAGGTGGTCCTGAGGTGACTAGAGTAGCTAAAGTCTGAGAGCACAGATAACAAATATGAAAGTTGGTATCGCTGAGGGTGTGAACAAGGGGGCTGGAAAATGGTCAGAAGAAAGCAGGAAGTAGTAAGGAAAACAATGTGAAACAGTATGCAAGTTTAATGTTACTTTGATTAAAATCTGGGTTATATTTATGAAACTAGAAGAAATTAATAATTTGATGTGTATACTATTGGTTCAGCTTTTTTTTTTTTGGAAAAATAGTATGGTAAAATGAATGGAGAAATCTTCCACAGAACAGATATAGCAATGGCCTGTCCAGATGGCCAAGCAGTTGATGCAGAGCAAGTAATGGAATATATTCCAGTTTGTAAAAATGTAGTTTGCTTTAGTAAACCTTTGTGCAATTTCTGGATGCACTGCTGGTTTTTATTTTAGGATATCTTGGTCATATAAACATTCAAACTGAAAGTCTCATGAAAGATATAAATCTATACAAAATCAGATAATATATTGGAATTGCAGTATTCCTTCTCAGTAGGAATACTATTAATTTTTAGTCACAAAATCAAATCAGTGCTTTTTGTGAATATCGCATACTTCTTACATAGATTTGTTCAGTACAACTTCATACGCTGCAGGTTTAAGCATTTGGTTGCTTCTTACTCTTTTACTTATTGACCTGAATAGGATAGGATTCTCTGAAATTATCAGAAATAACAATAATATTTGCTGAATAATTTTCTTAAGAGCTTTTACTCTGTTGCCTTTTGTGGGGGAGATTATGTGTACTCTTGAGAGGATTTTAAAGCAAGCAATAGAAATTTGGTGACTTAGCTGCCAGAGACATCCAGACTTAGCTCTGTATGATGAAAGTTTTCTCTTAAATAATAATAATAGGGGTAGTAAAATAAAAAGTGACTTGAAACACTTCCTGGCTTGTGCTTTTTTTGTTTTATAGATTGTGCAGCCTGCTTGCTTTGAAAGAGTTATTATCCATAGAATCAAAATACCTTTTATCCATAATTAGTTTAAAGATAGCCCAGACAGTGCTTGGTGTTTATAATCTAAAGCGCTTTACAAAAAGCAATTCAGAAAATCCTACTAATTGAGCAGTTCTTGTTCCTTGTAGTCCTATCTATTGTTTTTATTTCACTTACTTTGTCTGTCTTTTGTTTTAGGAAAGATGTAGTCAATGCACAAAGCATGGTAGTTGAGCTCTTTCCAGGTAATGCAGATCTGGATTCTGATGTTGAACTGGATAAGGCAGTGACTCAGATCAGTCTGGACTTAATGGATGATTACCCTGCCTCTGATCCAAGATGGGCTGAATCTGTACCTGAAGGTAAACATAATGGTGGTTTTGGTTATTTTTTTTGGGGGGGGGGCGGGGGGGGGGGGAGGTTGTGGTGTTGATTGTTGGGGGGGCTTTTTGGTTAAAAACTGTCTATAGTACTCTAACTAAAATTATAATTTAAGCTTTGCAAAACGGGCATAGGTGTCCCTTGCCCTCTTCCACCACTAGATGTATTTCCAGAGAGGCTTGAAGATGTGTCCTATGAGACTGCCAGATAAACTTGCAGTCTACTGTGGTTAGTTCTTGACTTCATATAGTAAACACAAACATCGGAGAAAGGACCAGGTGGTGTAAGTTTAGTGTTTCCGTGATTCCTTGATTACGTCTAAATTATTTTCCACAAATAGATATGTTGAGAGAAAGAGTTTATTTTGCTCATGCTTAGCTCTTTGTCAGCGTGGCTGCACAGCTTCTGGTGGGCTTGGATCCTGGGTAGAGTGAGCTCATACCCCTCTGGGGGCATTAGTATTTATGTCTGCCTAAAAGAGGACTAGAGAAATTTATTTTGGAGTATTTGTTGTATGTGAAGGATTAAAGCAGACATGTTTTCAGCAAGAAACTTCTTTGTTCATGCTTCCCTGTCTCTTATGAACAGTGTTAATTTGAAACTGTCTCCAGCACCTCCAAGAAGCAGTTGCCAGTTACTGAGCAGAAATGTAGTTTGAAAGTTCATGTAGTAAATAGTTACAGATGGATGATGCTTTCTGCTGTTGTTTCTGTGTGGCAGGCAGTTAGAAATTGTCAGGCATCAGATCCTCAGTATTTTCTGAATCAACTTTATTTTTAATTTGTCAGCTTATCTGCATTTATTCCCGGCTAAAGCAAGTTGGTGGTCTTTTGGCTTAAAGCACAGTTAGAATATACAAAAATTCTGAAATAGGAAAGTAACTTGGGCTCTGGAGAACTCTGCTGAGGTGAGATACTTGTGAGGATATTCACGAGGAAGCTTCTATTATCCTTATTGACTCCTTTAAGGACCTGATTGTCCAGACAGAAATGTTAGCTGGCTTTTCAGATGCAAGCTTATTTGAGGAAGAAGAAAAGTAGAGCAGAGCTGGGCAACCACTTATGTTGTGCAGTGGAATTTTGCAGGCAACAGAGTCAATTAGGTCTGAATGTCTGTTGACACTTGATTTTGTAGTAACTGTGGTCTAGGGCATAATAAATTTAGCAATAGCTAGTCCACACTGCAGATAAAAATTTGCATCTGAATCTTACTAAAACTTGAATAAGCTGGTGAGCTGCTATTTTAGCAGCACAATGAATTGAGTGCCTCAGAGCAGTTGTACTGATCTAAAAATACTTGATTTTTTCTAAAGGCTTTACTTCGGCTATGACAGAGTTCAAAAAAACGCATTAAAAAAGGCATGGTAAACAATATATAAATGTGTGTGCATATGTTTAAAAAAGTGTGGTAACGCTATAGAAATTTATAGAAATATGTTTACCTTGGAGGTAAAAAAAGAGTTATCAAAGTAATGAAGATGTCAAGTGCTCTAATCTAAGATTTTTGTCTTTTTAGAAGCAGCTGGTTTCAGCAATACATCTCTCATTCTTCTTCATCAGCTAGAAGATAAGACAAAAGCACATTCCTTCTTCATTGACTTTCTTCATCAGGTAAAATTCTACTGTTCTTTTGGTATCAGCGCACACAGTAGAGTATTATTTTGTCTTAAAGTAATTATTCTAGAACAATGCTTAATGTGCATGTCTTGTTTTATGGTTTTGGTCTTTTTTAATAAAAGGTTGGTGTATTTGAGCGTCTGGGCAGTTTTCCAGTACGAGGGATGCCCATGGCAACTCGATTGTTGCTCTGTGAGCATGCAGAGAAACTGGCAGCAGCTATTGTTCTCAAGAATCACCACTCCAGGCTGCCTGATCTAGTGAATGCTGCTATACTGATAGCGTTAAACAAAAGGGAGTGTGACATTCCACCCAGTCTTACCCCTGCAGATGTGTTCTTTCGAGAGGTAAGAAACCTGTAATTTCTCAATCGTTATGTAGTATCGCATGTAGTAAAAGTTGCAGTGCTTTATTGTGTACTTTGAAGCTTTGCCCTTTAAAAATTGATTCAACTTTACACAATTTCCCTTTGAATAGGGATGGTGTGGTAGTATTTTCCTCACTTCAGTGTACATACCTTCTTATGTCTGCAGCTGAAACATGAATTCTGACAAATTTCTCGTAGCAGAAGTTATCATTGCCAGCTAACCTACATGGATGAGCAATGAAAAAGACGAGTGAAATTCTCTGGCACATCAGAAAACGTATACTAAATTATCATTTTTAAGGGGTGAAATGAAGCGTATGAAGCTTTCCAGATAGGAGAGCTGATATGATGAGCTGTCCTGGATGGAATTGTGTCAGTTCAGTGTCTCATAATTTTTTGTCCTCTCTAACATTAGTGAATCTAAGCTAGTTCTCAGTTTATGCTGCATTCCAGTCAAGCACCCAGTCTTCATTTATTTCTTCCTTCTTGAGAAGAGCTATACACAAAACATTTATTCTTAAGTTTTTTCCAGTAGAGGACGGTAGTTGCTAATGGAGAAAAATAAATAGAAAATAAAATAGAAATAATAGTCTGCTATTTTAAAGCAGGTAAGTTATCCAGTATACTTTATCTAACAAAGGTTCTACTGCCAAATGTTTCAGAAGAATATGGAGGAATATGCTTAATGGAAGTTTATGGAGTTGCCTTCAAAAAAGAGTTTGTTGGGTTTTTTTCTTCTTCCAGATTTAAGTCCAGAAATAAGGCAATTCTTGTATTCTGAGTATGGTATGAAATATAAGCTGGTGATTTCATTATCCATTTGAGTAGTTGATACCTTTTAATATTTTTAGCTATTGATGTGGTTTCTACTGATATTTGTTTATTTTTCATACTACTCATTACTGGGCTTTCAGGAAATGAGCTAGTAATGGATATGTTTTCTTTCTCTCTTTGAGGTGTCCCAGATAGATTCCATCTTTGAATGCTTGCTAGAAGAAGAGGAACAAATCCTGAAAGATATGCCTATTGAATCAATTGAGTGGGCCCAGATAGTTGTCAATGTGAACAACATCATTAAGGTATAGAACTGCATTAACTAGATGGTTGTGGGAGGGGAAGGTAAATATTGAAGAGTACGTCTGTACATCTGAGTTACTGATATGAGAACAAAAGTGAATGCACTTTTCACATGTCCATATGCATTAGGAACAAACAGATGGTCTCATGTGGAATTAGGGACATTCTTTTTCCTCCTGAGCCATGGCTAAAGAGAATTTAAGAAGTTGCAGCATTGTTGGAAGTTGTGAAAGCATGAGCACATAGCAAAGAGTGAAGCGCTTATGCCTGAGCACCGAGGATTCCTGCTCAGTCAGTATGCGCTCTTCTATACAGCTGAGAAAGTGGTGTAGAAAGAAGGGGGATATGAAAAGAACATATCAGAATGAGAAAAGATAACATCTTTTACAGTCTGTGTATATGCAGATAGACTTGAAAGTACTTATACTCTTGCCTTTCAATAGGACATGCTACAAGCTGCCTGTCAGTATCGTCAGTCTAGAGCCTCTTTATATAAAACAGGAGAGCTTCCAGAAAGAGAACCTGAATACATTCCATGGACCGGTGAGAAATTACTATTACTAGTTTATTAATTATGTATCCTAAACAAAAATACTTTCATAAGTTTCAGAACACAAGAATTTCAATGTGAATGTTCAACTTACTGTTAAAAGCTTCTACAAGGCTGTCAGTAAGAACAGGAGAAGCTAAAGGTTTCATTTGGTGAATGAAATGGAATGAATCAATGAACACTTACCTTGTCCAGTACTGATGATAATTCTTTAAAACTTACATTGTAAATTTGACTACAAAAAGAAAGTTTGGGAGACAAAGCTAATTTTTTTTTTTTTTAGCATGCACTGGCTCTGGTTGGCAGACCTATGGTATAAATAATGTTAAAATTAATCGTAAAATGTGATCTATAACTGGTTTAAAAGGACTGATGATTCTTCACTTCCTTCAGTGTTTTATTTTGATGGTTTAATATCACGAAAAACTATCAGAACAAATGTTTGCAGAAGCAAGCACTTTCCAGTAGGTGCTTAAGCTTCCCTGTGGCCTCTATGTATAAAACACACTTACTTACTGCTCCCAAGATAAAAATCTTTTGAAAAGCAGAACCCATGCAAGCTCTTTCGGTGTGTTATGTCTTGATGACTACATCCAAGTATTCAGATGAGTTTAACAGAAGTTGCCTTTACCTTGTGTGTGTTCTCTACTTTGCTTACAGATCATGCAAGTGATTCTTTTCTTCTGAAAAATAGCTGGTATTGGTAGCTGGCAGTGTAGATCTGTGTAGTTCAGGGGGTGATTTTGTTTCTGTTCTTTTTAATTTACTATGTTTTGGCCAAATTTAATATGTAAAGGTAGATGGGAGTATGTGCTTGTTTTGGTTTGTTTTGTGGGTTTTTTTTATAGCATCGCTTTTATTTTAAAAATTAAAATGTTTATTAGCTTGGTTGCTTTCTATTTTTTTGATTATGTGTAGTAATGTTTTTTGCTATGCTTCGGCGTAGATTCTTGCGGGGTAGGTTTGTTGTTTTCATGTTCGCTGTGTCGTTTTCCCAAGCATCTAGCGGCGTTCGTGCAGCGATAATACGTCAGCATGGAATCATTCTGAAGATGGTGTATCCCCAGGTGGACAGCAACCTCCGTAGCATTGTGGCTGAACAGTTGGTGGCACTACTGGATTGTTTTCTAGATGGTTATGTTTCTCAGCTGAAATCTGTGGACTGCCCTGCTGATCAAGAGAGATACAGTAATGTGGAAATGGAATATGTGCAGAAAAGAGCAGAACTCCTGTCCCCTCTCCGTAAGTACTGTCTGTTTTCCTCAATGGAAGGATTAAATGTTCGACTCGATGAGGAAATGATGCAAATCTGATAGAGTAAACGGCATCTGTGTATGAATTCTGTTTGTCCTGCATGTTTGCCTTCAAGGGTATAAATGGCTGGTTTTATGATTTAATGGGATACTTAGAAAATAACAACAGGTTACAGAATTGCATCTAAGGCTGCACCCGTGCCCATACCTCTAATACAACAGGTGCTTGAATTTTTTTCTTTTGCTACCTTGTTACGGTTTTCTGGCAGGAGTTGATCTTGTACCAGCTGGCTGAAAATAGCCTATAAATGGATTTCTAAATGTTTATATTGTTGCTAGTTGACATTAACATATATGCCTGAAAGTTTGTTTATTTGTTTAGTGTTTATCAAGAAAAAGTTACGTTTTGAATCTTGATTATTTAATAATCAAAGCTGCTGTTTAACATGTCAGATGTGGTCAAGTCTTTCATGAGTAATTGAAAGCAAAAACCCCCTTGTTAAGTGGAAATAACTCTGAGCCAATACATTTTATTGAGCTTCTAAAGTTTAATTTTTTTAGACTAAAAATGCACGCTATAAATAGAACAATCTAATAATCACTACCTTTTAATATTCTTAAACCTTAAGAAAAGTCTCTTAAACTATCATTGTCAGTTTTACTGACATTCATGGGCTCTGTTAGCTTATGAATACATTTTATATCATTATGTTCAATCTAAAGTTAATATTTGCTTACAAACAAAATTCTGCGTTCTGCTAACTCTTATGTATTTGACTGGACCAAAATGAAAGTTTTTAAATAATAGGATTTGTAATAAAAAATGTTATTTTTACTTGTTCTATTTGTTACCAAAAGCCTTTGCCTGCTGCTTTATCACTTTATGCAATTAAGTGGGTCTTAATACAGATATCATGTCATGGGTTTATCTTTTTTTTTCACCCCATCCCCTAAAGGCACAAATAGCTAATTTTCAGAGAAAAGAGGATGTATACTGGCAACTTAGCATTCTAAACTTCTCTTCTTCCCTCTTGTATTGGGGGACAGAGGTGCTAGGTGTGTGAGCTTGCATGTGCACAGGGTACAGATGCAGTAAGGTGAATGTTTCTTTGGGAACATGTAAGTACCTCTGTGATGGAAACACTTAAGGCTTGTTCTCATTTTCCTGGTCTCTGCTCTCAGTCATCCGACAGCCAAAGATGAGCTTGTTTGATATAACTTTTTCTTCTCGGTTACTTAGTTTCCCTGGGACAGTATCAGATGGCAGCTGCTTTAGCAGAGAAGTACTGTGACTTTGATATCCTGGTGCAAATGTGTGAGCAGACGGACAACCAGGCCAGACTGCAACGTTACATGAATCAGTTTGCAGATCAGGTAACTCTTTTTTTTCTAATTCCTTTAGATAGTGTTTTATAATACATTTGCACTTGAAATGTTGCAAAAGTTTTGATTTGGGGGGGTGGTGGTATCTGGTTTTTTTAAATGTGTATGTATTTACATATACGTACAAGGGATAATGTGGAAAATTGGAGTCAAGACACACTGCACAGAACTCAATGGCATATTTTACCCTGAGACTGGAAAGCAAGTCAGGAGAAATATGGGTGCTAGCTCTATGGGCAGTGGCGTTTCATGGGACCTTCTTTGTGCCTGAAACACCCTGTCTCACCCTTAACATCTTTTGGCATTTTGTGACTTGTTCACTGAGGTGCTGTAGTCAGTGTACTGTTGTTTTATTAAACTAATGTACTGTAAATTGAAGGATAACTTCCAAAAGAGAAGATTGTTAAATGTATAAATAGAAAAGTAGTTAAGAAGAGTAGGAAGACAGGGATGTTGCTGTGGTCTTTTTTTATTGTCCTGCCAGGTACCTGTTGGAAAAAAAAAAAAAAAAAAAAAAAAGGAAAGCTTAAGGAAAAAGCCATAGAGACTACTTGAAGTCAGGGGGGCTGGGACAAAGGTTTCCTGATTTGAGAGTTGGTGAGATCAATTTGTTTAGTTTTCCACAACTATGGAAAGAGAAGTCCTGCAGCCTACGGGTTTCTTAATAAAGATAGTATAGAAAGGTTGTTTAATAAGAACAAGCAACAGACAGAAATTATAGTAAACTGTTTAATAGTGAGTGTTAAATACTCACACATACTGCCACAAGAAAGGGATAAATTCTCTATTTGTTCTCTGCAGATGCTTTTTTTCTTTTAGAGAAAAAAAGTAACACTAAGGTAATAATTTCTGAAAAGAAGTTACTTTAGCAAATGTAGAGCTGTATAGATCAAGTCTAATGGATAGACTATCAGACTGGTGGCCTCTTCAAACTTTATTTCCTAAATTGTTAATGCAATTAAAATTTAGCATTGTTCTAAAATTACTCTGAAAAGACTAAGTCAAATCTTAAACATAAACCCTGACTGGTTATGTCGTGTTGAAGTTTTTGAGGATAAAATAGCTGTGTTTTTTTAAAAAAAGACATTTTTTAACAATGACTGAGAGAAGTACGGTTATAGGTTCAGTTGGAGACAGAGGGAATGTTTCAGAAACAGTGACATCAGAAGCAAACTTGTACATGAAAGAAATTAGAGTCTTTGGGCAGGGGGGGAACAGGTAAAAAAATAAGATTAGAATTGTGGATAATGTGATACCTGTTTCCATTCTTGTGCATTAACGTGAAAAATTTACATTTGGCACCTCCTTCACTTCCATTGAAGGATAAACCCTGCTGTGTTTATCTGCATCTCTTGCACTGTAGCTGATGAATTCTTTAAACGCTATTTCTATCAGAACTCTTAAGATTTTTTTCATCAGCAGTATGTTACTTTTTTGTGTGTGTGTCTTGTTTTGTTAAGCAGGTTCTTACTAATTGTATTTTATGAAACATTTTGCCTTAGAAGACAAACAAGGTATTTAAATCTAACTTTTAAAATCTTCAGAATTTTTCAGATTTCCTGTTTCGCTGGTATTTAGAAAAAGGAAAGCGAGGGAAGCTGTTATCCCAGCCTATTGCTCAGCATGGACAGCTGGCCAGTTTCTTGCAAGCTCATGAGCATCTGAGCTGGTTACATGAAATCAATAGTCAGGATTTCCAAAAGGTAGGATATCTTAATACAACCAAACTGAAATATCATATCTTAAATGAGTCGAGTACATATTTGAGTAGGCAAATTATCTAATTCTGACTCTTCATCATCAAAAGAAGACAGCTTATCTTGGTGACTTAAGGGAGAGATGACATGGATTATTAATGGACTACCAAAAGCCTCCCTCCAGGCACCATCTGGTATATCATATAAGCCGCTGCACCATGTACTGGAAGTTAGGGCAGCTTTTCATCCTTTGTTGGTGATTAATATTTTGTATCAAGGAAGTTTTATATGGCTGTCTGATCACCACTTTGGTGGAATTGGGAGTTTACAGTGAATATTAATAGCATTATGAGATTATCCAGCATGGGAAAAACTGAAATTTATATTTCAAAACTAACAATTTAAAGCAAAGGAATTTGGAGGTATCACAAAAGTAAAAAAAGATATTGATTACTTTAATCCCTTGTACTCATAGCATAAAAGCAATGGGGTTTTTTAATAGCTAATGTGCAGGTGGATAGGTTAATGTTACGCTGTTTTAAAACTTGATTCTTTGTTGCCTTGTCGGCTGCCCAGTTATTCTTCCCCTACTTCCTGTTGGTCAGTCTTCCCTTCCTTCTGCTAGGTTTATGAACGTATTTCATTTCAGCAAATAAACTAATTCTAAAGAAAAATGACTTCTTCTGATCCATGTGCACGTTTATTAAGCATGCAGAGCATGGAAATGTTTATCATACTGCAAATTATTGGTTGTTAATACTTTCTGCCTTTTAAAAAAACCCACACAAAACCCAAAAACAAACCAACAAAAAAACCCAACCACCACCAAAACCCCAAAACCCACCCTGTGAGTCTTCTAATATTCTGTTTGTGTTGACTTTTATAGCAAAGCACTATGAAGAGGGGACTAGGATTCTAAAATATACAAGTAATTCACTCTGGATAGTTTATTTCTGAGTAGGAGCTCAGAAATTTTCTGCTCCTTTGTCCAATAGATAAATAAATTCTTGCCTAAACGTTTGGTTACTGCAGCAGTTATACATATAATTCTGTTTTTTCAAGTTCCTGAATTAACAAGTGAATCAGTCTGTATGCAAAGTTGTCCTGTCAAAGTGTATTTGCCTGGCTTTTATGGCAAAGCCTTGAATAAGATCCCAGAGGTATAAAACGTGAAGTTGTAATTTATCCTTTGAGCGTAAGATAGTTTTTCTTAATTAGTAATGAAGATGGGGTTTGGATACAATTGAAGTAGGGATCTATGTCTCTTCCTGAAGAGTGTAACGCGGAGTTTTAATGTGCAAGTTGTATGACTTTTAAAAAATAAGGGTTATAGTATTACAAACAATAAATAGCTGTGAGACTGCCGTGCAGGTTAAATCCTGATCTGTTAACCTTCTGATGTTAAATTCTAAAACTGATTTCTAACATCTTTATTAATTTCAGGCTCACAGAACGTTGCAGACTTTAGCAAATATGGAGACCCGATACTTTGCAAAGAAGAAAACACTTCTTGGCTTGAGCAAATTAGCCGCGCTAGCATCTGACTTCTCAGAAGATATACTGCAAGAGAAAATAGAAGGTAAGAAAGAAAAACAGCAAAGGACAGAACAGACTAATGAAGTTACTGAATTAGAATCATGTCAATTTTGCAGGTAGTTAATTTACTAGGCTGAGGGCTCTAATACGTTAGGGATAAACGGGCTGATGATTTTGCATTGCAGGATAAGGAAAACTGCATAAGGCAGTAACCTTAGTATTCACCTTCACCTGTGAGTTAGGGCTATGAGCAAGGGAAATTTGTACCTTTTCACTTTTTTCTACTAAAACAAAATATTGGCATAAATAACAAGCCGCACAGTCTTTTTGAGAAGTCATTAGACAGTTCTGAAGTAAATGAAGCTGTACTTTGTATTTCAGATGCAAGGTAAAAATTATTTAATTTCTTAAAGCTGGCTCTCAATTTTGAATTCTTCTAAAGTCCTGAGACTCTTATGTTGTATCGTAGTAATGTGCCTGTAAATGTATACATTTGTGATCAAGAAGTGCTTTCTCAGCGCCTCTCTCTGCATCTAGAAAGGTTACAGTGACAGAGTTTCATTATGCTCTAGCTGAAAGGATATTAACGGGAAAAGTAGGAATACCTGTTCTGTTTCATTACCAAATGCAACGGTTCCACTGCTCTGCTGTTCCTATCACTTTGGAAAATACCATTTTCCTGATACAGCAGCATGTGCTGCACAAACAGTGAGTTTGTGGAAAAAATAGTTCAACACCAATAGTTAATCTAATACTGGCCACCAGGGGAAAGCTTTGAAATATTACTCAAGGTTACTGCTCAAGCTTACTTCTATTTATCTGCCTATTTATCCACATATGTTTTGTACAAATCTTGAAAGAAATCCTGTTAAAAAAGGCTGGCAATAATTATGATAACTAAGTAGGCTTCACAAATTATTTTAGCTTGTAATAATAATGTATTGTCTGCCCTTCAAATTCTAAAGCATTGCATGAAATCTTGAAGTTGAAATTTGTTTTTCTTACCACTGTGAGAAAAAAATATGCTAATGTGAAGAATCTCATCTTCAGATAGGAAAACCGTAGAAAAATGAGGAAATCAAAGCTTTATTTCAGTAGGGTAATGAACTGTCAAAACTTGGTCTGGACTTTGCTCTGCTGCATGTTTCTGTATGACACATGACATGGCTTTTAAAACTCAATGCTCTTTGTGTATTGGTTTTCTGTTGATAAAGAAGAATTATTTCTGCTGCATTCAACAGATAAAATGCTCCCTTCTACCATGCAATGGAACTTTGGGGGGTGGGGCAGCAGGGTTCACATACTGTGGCTGAAATTATTCCATTTTGACTGTTTCTACCTAATAAGTTTATAACCCTGAAGCAGATGATACTGGAAAATAAAACAATCAAAAAAGGAATAATTCATGAGGTGGAGCAGGTCCATGGCACAAGTCTTCAGCCAGAAGGTAGCTCCTAAAAATCGCAACCACCTTACTTCCCTGCATAATGCAACAACTTCCCTCCAATCCTGTGCATGCATTGTGTGGTTTTGAGAAAGAAGAGTTACCAGTCTGCATTACACTGAAAGCCCGAGTGGAAAGTAAGAAGAACTAGGTCACCAGGATGACAGTATTGAAGTGGAAGTATTTCTGTGCTTTAGGACCATTAGGTGTCCAAATAGAATGCTTCATAACAAACATTTGTAGACCTGAATAATATTGTGGTTTGACAGTTACTACTGTTCCATAGAATTTATTATTGCATTTTAATAACATGAAACATTCATTTCTTTAAATGACTACAAGAAATATCGGAACAGGAACGCTTTCTGTTACATCAGGAGACTCTTCCTGAACAATTACTGGCAGAGAAACAGTTGAACCTCAATGATATGCCAGTGTTGTCTGCATCTCAGCTCATTGGTGTAAGTATCTCATGTTTTCTTCATTACAGAGGTAAAGTTCCAGTTTGTTTTCTGCCTTTCTGTGACAAAATAAATGAGAAGATCACAGCTGTCTTTATCCCTAACATGACTTGCTAAGCACCTAAAGATCTGATACATGAATTTGTTTGTTTGCTTAGTTTCTACCAGCACCAAACTTCAGAATGCTGTTTCTAGTTCAAATTTCTTTTTGTTGAATGCACGCTGCTAGGAGAAGAAGCAAATCAAATCAGTGCCAGAAGCTGATATACTGGTTTAAACCAGTTCTTGGATACGAGACAATTTTTACCTTCTGTTACATTCTCAGTAGGGCAGAACTTGGAAGGCAGAAGAAACAAAGAATTCCACCTTAGTGGAGAAGGGTGCTGCAATCTAGAAAAAGAAAGGGCTAGAAGCAGGAAGAGGCTTTTGGTCACCTGTTGCAGCAAGGCACCCGAAGTCTTTCTGCTACTTTTTTTCCTTCTTTTTCAAAAACAAACCAAAAAACCCCCAGTCCATACTGAAACAAAACCATGAGCTGCTCCAGTACTGGGATCACTGACTGGCTGACTCCCTTTCCACACACCTTTCTCATGATAGCCAGCAACCAGTAGCCTCATTGTTTCTGCCTTGTTGGAAGCATATTTTTACCATCCAGTAATGCACACAAAAAATATTCCATGAGCAACAACAATACGTTGTAAAACAAATTGGATCCTGTCTAGGTGTCAATTTTGCAACTCCTTACTTTTCCTGTAATCCTGTGGAAAATCAAAAGCTGATAGTGTGCTTGTTTTAATTTTCCTCATTTTCTTAAGACAACACTAGTAGCAGATTCTGAAGTCATTACCTGTATCTTTTAGTGAGACTATCTGTGGCATTGGGGGGGAGGGACACACAGGGACACAAGGAAGTGTCACTTGTGACTTGGCAAGCGCTGGCACCATGACAGTTCTCCTGAATTCTCTCTATTGTCAAACCAGTGTTCATACTCGCTACTTGCAATGTGAGAGTGAAACTCAGAAAGGGTGCAGATTCTGAAGTCATTACCTGTATCTTTTAGTGAGACTATCTGTGGCATTGGGGGGGAGGGACACACAGGGACACAAGGAAGTGTCACTTGTGACTTGGCAAGCGCTGGCACCATGACAGTTCTCCTGAATTCTCTCTATTGTCAAACCAGTGTTCATACTCGCTACTTGCAATGTGAGAGTGAAACTCAGAAAGGGTAAATAAAAAGAACATTAATGTTAATTTTCCTTTAAAGTACTAATTTAGAATTTGG